TTCTCCATCGTAACTGAAGGATAGTTTCACTGGATGGAAGATTCTTGGCTGAAAGTTTCTGTCTTTCAGTATTTTGAATATATCATTCCATTCTCTCCTAGCCTGTAAGGTTTCTGCTGAGAGACCCACCGAAAACCTGAGGGGGGTTCCTTTGTAGATTATTGTCTTCTGCCTTGCTACCCTTAATATTTTTTCTTTGTCATTGGATTTTGACAGTTTTACTAATGTATGCCTTGGAGAAGATGTTTTTGCATTGATGTAATTAGGAGTTCTATTGGATTCATGTATTTTTAAGTCCAGTTCCTTGCCCAGGTTTGGGAAGTTCTCAGCTATAATCTCTTTGAACAAGCTCTCTGCTCCTTTCTCCCTCTCTTCTCCCTCTGGAATACCTATGATCCTTATGTTGCTTCTCCTAATTGAGTCAGATATTTTTCAAAAAATTCCTTCATTTAAAAAAAAACTTAGTTCTTTCTCCTCCTCCACCTGAAGCATTTCTATATTTCTATCCTCTAAATCACTAATTCAGTCCTCCATAGTGTAAGCTCTATTTTTTAAGGATTCTAGATTATTTATTATCTCATTAATTGTGTTCTTCATATCCAGAATACCTGTTTGGTATTTTTTTAATACTTTCAGTATCTTTGGTGAAGTATTCCTTCTTCTCATTAATTTTATTCCTCATTGAATAATTGAAAAGTCTTTGAACATTCATGTCTTTGAGTTCATTGAAATGTCTTTCTGAGTTTTCTTGTAACTCATTGAGTTTCTTTATGACAGCTATTTTGAATTCTCTGTCATTTAGATTGTAAACTTCTGTGACTTCAGGGTTGGTTTCTGGATACTTGTCATTTTCCTTCTGCTCTGAATTGTTCCTGTAGTTTTTCTTGGCGTTTGATGAACTAATCCTTTGCTGGCACATTTGTCGTAGTATCAGGTCAAAGGTTCCACCTGCTACCACTGGGGGGAAGCAGGAGCTGTCTTTCTGATCTCACCCCATCTGCTGGAAGTTGTGTGGGTATGGTGGGTGCTCCAGCAAGCTAGGATAGCGTTTGCACATGTGCTGGGCTGCCACCACCTCCACTTATAGTCACGCTGGCTGCTGTGCTTGGTGGGCGGGGCTTCTTCACAGAGTCTGATCCAGGGTCATGTGTTGGGGCCATGGTGGTATGGTGGGCCTTCCCACAGGCCAGGATATCATTTGTGCTTGTGCAAGACTGCCACACCTCTTCATACAGTTGCTCTGGGGTACATTCCCACTCGTGGGGCTGTGATGGCGTGGTGGGCACTCCCACTGTCTGGGAAAGTATTCACGTGTGCCCACAGGGCTGCTGCCACCTTTTCTTACAGTGGCACTGAGGGTCATTCCCACTGGTGGTGCCGTGGTGGCATGGTGGGCGTTCCCACAGGCCAGGAAAGCACACGCGTGCATGCAGGGCTGCCACTGCATTTTCTTACAGTTGTGCTGAGGTGTGTTCCTACTGGTGAGGCTATGGCACCTCGATGTGTGTTCCTGTGGGCCAGGATAGCATTAACCTGCAGTCTTGTCTGTCCCCACCTCCTCAGAGTAGCTCTGGGCCCTGTGAGAGGACCCAGGACCTGGCTCACTGCTGCTGGGGAGGGGAAGGGGAGTGCTCGCCTATCTTCACTGCTTCCCAGTGACCCAGTCCATCCATCTTCAGATATATAGCTTCCTGGGTCTCTCAGGCATCCGGTTGTACTGTGTGAGTATCCTCTGTTGGTCAACAAATGTCCATGTAGTTGTAAATCAGAGGAGGAGAGACAAAGGGAAGAGCTCACTCCGCCATGTTGTTAACAAACAATAACACACTCTTAAACAACCAACAGATCAAAGAAGAAATCAAAAGGAGAGATAGAAAATACTTACAGTTGAATGAAAATGAAAACACAACATACTAAAACTTATGACACGCAGCGAAGGTGGTACTAAAGGAGAAATTTATAGTTATAAATGCTTACATTAAAAGTCAAGAGAGATCTCAAATAAACAGCCTGACTTTACAACTTAAGGGACTAGAAAAAGAAGAAGAAACTAAACCCAAAGCTATAAGGAGGGAAATAATAAAGATTAGAGCAGAGATAAATGACATAGAGAATAGACAAAACAATAGAGAAAATAAATGAAACCAAGAGTCAATTCTTCAAAAATATCAACGCAAGTGAAAAACGTTTAGCTAGGTGAACTAAGAAAAAAAGAAGACTCAAATTACTAAAATGAATTGAAAGTGGGGATACTACTTCTGATTCTACAGAAATAAAAACGATTATAAGAGGGTACTGTGAACAGTTGTACACCTACACATTGGATAACCTACATGAAATGGACAGATTCCTAGAAACACAAAACCTACCAAGACTAAATCATAAAGAAATAGATATTTGAGTAGACCTATAAATAGTAGGGAGATTGAATCAGTAATCTAAAATTTCTCAGCAAAAAAAAAAGCCTGGAACTGAATGAATTCCACCAAACATTTAAAGAAGAACTAGTGCCAGTCATTCTCAAACTTTTCCAAAAATTGAAGAGAGAACATTTCCCAACTCATTCCGTGAGGCCAGCATTATCCTGATACCAGAACTAGACAAATACACTACAAGAAAAGAAAACTACAGATCAATCTCCCTTATGAACATCGATGCCAAAATCCTCAACAAAATACTAGCAGACAGAATTCAGCAGCATATTAAAAGGATTATACACCATGACACTAAGTGGGGTTTATTCTTGAAATGCAAGGATGGTTCAACATACAAAACTCAGTCAATGTAATACAATAATAAACACTATAAAGGAAAAAAACCCACATGATCATCTCAATTGACACAGAAAAAGCATCTGACAATTCAAAACCCTTTCATGATAAAAACACTCAAGAAGCTAAAAATAGAAGGAAATTATCTTTACATAGTGAGTCATACATGAAAGCCCACAGTAAACATCATACTCAATGGTGAAAGACTGAAAGCTTTTCCTCTAAGATCAGGAACAAGGCAAAGATGCCTGCTTTCGCCATTTCTATTCAACATAATACCGGAAGTTCCTGCCAGAGAAATTAGATAAGAAAAGAATTAAATGCATCCAAATTGGAAAGGAAGAATTAAAATTATCTCTGTTTGCAGAAGATATGATCTTATATGTAGAACCTAACACCATATACAAAAAATAACTCAGAATGGATCAAGAACTTAAGTATAAGAACTAAAACAATAAAACTCTTAGGAGAAAACATAGGAGAAAAGCTTCATAACATTGGATTTGGCAGTGGTTTCTTGGATATGACACCAAAGGTACAGTCAACACAAAAAAAATAGACAAAAAATAGACTTCATGAAAATTTTAAAAATTTGTGCATCAAAAGACACTGTCCACAGAGTAGAAAGGTGGCCCACAAAATGAGAGAGAATATTTGCAAATTGTATATCTGATAAAGGATTGATATCCAGAATATATAGAGAATTTCTAAAACTCAACAACAACAAAACAAACAACCTGATTCAAAAATGGTCAAAGGACTTGAATAGACACATCTCAAAGATTTACAAATGGCCAATAAGCACACAAAAGGATGCTAAACATGGCTAATCATTAGGGAAAGACAAATCAAAACTACAATGAGATACTACCTCACCCCCAGTAGGATGTATACTATCAAAAAAACAGAAAACAACACGAGTTGGAGGGGCTGTAGAGAAATTGGAACCCTTGTACACTGCTCGTGGGAAAGTAAAATGGTGCAGCCACTGTGGAATACTCTGTGGCAGTTCCTCAAAAAATTTAAAATGGAATTACCATAAGATCCAGCAATTCCACTTCTGGGTGTATACTCAAAAGAATTTAAAGCATAGTCACAAAGAGATATTTGCACACCCATGTTCATAGCAGCATTATTCACAATAGCTAAAATGTGGAAGCCATCCAAGTGTCCATCAATGGACGAATGGATCAAGAAAATGTGGTCTATACATACAATGGAATATTATTAGCCTTAAAAAGGAAGGGAATTCTGACGCACACTACAACATGGATGAAACTTGAGGACATTATTCTACATGAAATAGGCCAGTTAAAAAAAAGACAAATACTCTATGATTCTACTTAGAGTAGTCAAAATTCTAAAGACCAAAGGTAGAATAGTGGTTGCTGCCTGGGGATGGGGGGAGTGGAGAATGGAGAGTTATTGTTAAGGAGTACAGAGTTTTAATTTTACAAGATGAAGAGTTATAGAGATGGATGGTGGTACTGGTTGCACAACAACGTGAGTGTATTTAATATCACTGAACTGTACACTTAAAAATGATTAATTTGGGGGCCGTCCTGGTGGTGTAGGGGGTAAGTTCGCATCCTCTGCTTCTGTGGCCTGGGGTTCACAGGTTTGGGTCCCAGGCACGGGCCTACATACTGCTCATCAAGCCATGCTGCGGTGGCATCCCGCATACAAAGTAGAGGAGGATGGGCACAGATGTTAGCTCAGGGCCAGTCTTCCTCACCAAAAAAAAAAAAAGATTAAGATGGTAAATTTTAGTTATGTATATTTTACCACAGTTATAAAAAAAAATTGCGGTCTAAGTCTCTGCCCTCTGCAGAAGGCCTGAGATTAGCCAACGTCAGAGAAGTGTTGAAGCCAATTGTTGAAGCCAATTGAGACTTTTTGTCTTTAATCAGAGGTAGCAGAAAGGGAATCACTTCACCATCCACGGCAGCTGCACCTGTGCTCTGCCCACCTACAACTAGTCGGCCCTTGGGGAAACACAGCTGGATTCATCACTCTATACCGTCTATTCCTGGACACACGCTTAGTGATGTCTCTGTTTTATAAGTGACCTGCCAGGGATTCCTGTCCCTGGGAAGCACAAACAATTATTTTGAGTCTCAGGGGATGCTGCTCTCCTACTCTCCCCAGCCCCTCACCCCCAAGTGAAAACGACGTCTGGAGAAACCATTTTCTAAAACCCCTCCCTAACCTCTTCATCTCCAATTACAGGGAAATCAAAAACTTTAGAAGAGGTAACCACACCGTCCCTCCAACAAGGAGCTGGAACCTCGACCTCTGACAGCACTGAGTTCAGCGACCCCTGCCCCGAAGTCTGGAGGAAGCTGCAGGAATTGCGTGGCTATGCGTGAGCACCTCAGTGGGTGGGGGTGGATGGGAGAGGAGGGCACGGCCGCCAGTTGCCTGTGTGTGCATGAAGGGGAAATCACAGAAGTGTCTGAGCAGGAAGTGTCGGCTACCCAGTGCCCCCAATGACAGTGACAGGATGATCGCCGTCCCTTACACGCACGCATGTCCCCAGTCCTTTCCCACTCACAGTCCTTTTCAGTCCTCACTACAACCTTATGAGGAAGATGGGATTCATGCCCATTTTGCTGATGAGGAGACTGAGGCAACCCGAGAAGGAGGGTGAGGCATTGCCTGGGGTCCCACAGCTTGGTGGGCCTGACACCAGGTCCTCGATCTTTGCCTCCTCACCAGTGATACCCCTTTGCGGGGCTTTTTACAGTTTACAGCCTTTGTGCCCTGAATGTTTATTTCTTAACATAGTTTGTCAGATATTCTCCTACAAAAAGAGAAACACCTCTTAAAACAAACAAAAAACATTGGCATGGGTGATAAATGATGTTGATGATTTTGTGTGTTCCAAAGTCCTAGCAAGTTAGTATACATTTCTGTGAAGGCCCAGACTGTGGGCCATAAAGGATTGAAAACTTAGTCACATCTAAGCCATGTATGTCTTGGGCTCCCTGGGCCGTTGAGCATTTTTGCAGCCACAGAACATGGGGAGAGGGCAGCCACCCCATTTGCCCCTTACTGTGACATTCCGGAAGAAAGCTCTCTTTCCTTGTAACCTCAGGACTGGGGGCTGAGCAAAGCCTCCAGCCCCCCCAGGCCCTCTTTCTGCACACAGTCCCACTCCATAGGTCCTCACCCAGCACTAAAGGTGGAAATCGGGTGAGGACTGGTCTCAGAGGGGTCCCAGGGCCTTCCCACTGCTTCCTAAAAATACTACCTTTAAGGATGAGAGAGGATGGGCTGGGGACAGGTACTTTTGGGACAGGGAAATGAGATGGGAGTCTTGGGAGCAGAGGAGGGGCTGTAGAGCGCCTCCCTGGTGAGTGGGAGCCAAATGGCTAGAAGATATGTTGGTCGCCTTCCCTGCAGAGAAGCCTAAAGGGCCTCATGGAAAGAGAGGAATATCTCCTTCTGCAACTACAGGGCAAAATTACCCTCTCACCCAATGACGGCTCCGAAAGGAGACGTTCAAACCCTGAGCTCCCATCACTCTCACCCTCTTGGAGCTCAGGCTTCTGCTCCCACCCCTCACCAGTCTCCCTCCCACCAGCTGCACTTCAGCCAGCATTCACAGGAGTGGAGGTTACCCAAGAAGGCCAGGAAGTTGCATTACACCTTCTATGATAAGTCCTCCTTCATTTAGAATCCTTTTCTTTGGTGCCACCCTTTCTCCCCAGCAACTCAGCCCTAGAGAACTCCCAGGCTTGAAAAAGCCTCAGTATTTACTTTGGCTTTTCAATTGACTAGAAAAGCTTGGTGACGGGTCCTCCAGGGTATTAAGAGTTTGTCCAGGTCAGAGAAGGCTGCCTTTGGAGAATGTTGGGGTGGGAAGCAACTGATCGGGAAGTCACCTTGGACCCCTCTGTTCCTTGCAGGGGTCCTGTTGCCCACTCCCCAGCATGCTCGAGAGCTGGACCAGACTCCAGATGTCCCAACCCGTTTGGCAGCAAGGCTCTGAGGCCAGAGAGAGTGAAGCACTTATTCTACGTTCTGTAGTCTGAGTTGGACGAGATGTCCAAGAGGGAAGGACACTAAACCATTCATTCCTGTCGCTTTGTTGTAGGAATGGGTGGTGTGACTCATTCAGTGTCACAAAAGGAATTTGGTGGCAGAATTTGGGTTCAGGGCCACCTCACCTCCGTTTAGGGCCCCCTCTCTCTGGCGCCCTTTTACGCCTTTCAGGCTTGTTTCCTCCAGCAGAGAGCAGGATAGGGGGATGCAGGGGGCCTCATTTAATAATGAAACCACTGAGCACTGAGTGTTCCCTATCTTTGGGGGAGAGGGCAGTCTCTGAGCTGTCAAAGAGGCTGCCCAGCCAGGACTGCCCGGCAACAGCCCCTCTTACTTCATTTGGCTTCCTCGCCACTGAACTGGGAGTTCAGAACCGAAGCGCCTTGTCAAAGGAGTCCTCTTGTTTCTCTGGCTGTAAATGAATCCACTCATCATACTCTGCTCAGCCCCGCTTCCACAGAGCCTGTGATGTTGAACACAGCAAGCTCCTTCCAGGGTGGCTGCTGCTCGCTATGGGTCATGGGGCTCCCCCTCCCCCTTTTCTGACTCTTCACTGCATTGAATAGGATCATCTCCCTGAGCTCCTTGTGAAGCTGTGTCTGAATTAGGTTGCTGTTGGCAGGACCAGAGAGGTGGTGGGCTGGTGTGTGATCTTTGTTCTCTCACCTGTCGCAGAATTCCGAGGTCCGCCTGGATGGGACCACCCCAAATCTGCAGGCCGTGCTGCCAGCATGATTGCTTCATACCCCGACAATGGCATACCCCACACCCTGGCAATTAATGCATTTCCTCTTTGGGAGTCCCAAGAGGCCTGGGTTCTAGGCCCAGTTCTTCTTGGTGACCCTGCACAAGTCTTCATCTCTGTGGGCCGCACTTCCTTCCATTGTAACATGAAGAAGCTGCACCCAGTGATCTTGAAGGAGAAATTCTGTCTTACTGTGTTCACGTGGCCAAAACACATGTGCAGCTATTGGATCCCTCTCGAGTAGAGAAAATGTTTGGAGGACACTTCCCTCACCTCATGGCTTCCACGGAACCCCAGGCTCAGCAGTGGATTCTGTTTTCACCGAGATTGCTGGGCAAAGCTCTCAGGTAGAAAGGGTGTATCTGCCCTTAGGATGCCAAAGAGCTCCGAGCCCTGATTGGTTTGCACTTGTCCACAACCATCCAGGATTCATTTCATCTGGGTTATCAGCATCTCCTGGATGTCTTCCCTCAATCGCTGATTCTCCCGTCAAACTTCCCTCAAAGCCTCTTTTCATATGAAGATACAAACTCATCACCTCGATAGCAAACCTTAATCACCGTGTGCCGGCACTGTTCCTTTAGGGATTTGTTGATCACTCAGAACCACTCTGTGAGGTAAGCATTTTTTTTAATATGGTAAAATGCAATTAACGTAAAATTTACCCATTTTAACGATTTTAAAGTGTACAGTTCAATGGCATTAAGTACGTTCACCGTGTTTTACAACTATCACCACTATCTAGTTCCAGGATTTTTTCATCTCCCCAAAAGGAAACCCCATACCTATTAATCAGTCACTCCTCATTTCTCCCACCCCTATAGTTCCTGGCAACTGCTAATCTGCTTTTTGCCTCTATGTATTCCAGATATATCATATAAATGGAATCATATAGTATATGGCCTTTTGTATCTGGCTTCTTTCACTTAGCATGTTTTCAAGTTTCATCCATGTTGTAGTATGCATCAAGACTTCATTCCTTTTTTTAAATTTGGGCTGAAATTCATATAACATAAAATCAATCCTTTTAATTTGTACAATTCAGTGACATTTAGTGCATTTACAATGTTGTGCAACCACCACCTCTATCAAGTTCCGAAGCCTTTTCATGATCACCCCAAGAAAAACCGTACATTCATTATGCAATCACTTCCTGTTTCCCTCTACCCTCAGCCCTGGCAACCACCAGTCTGCTTTCTGTCCCTATGGATTTGCCTATTCGGGACATCTCATGTAAGTGTCATCCCACAACATGTGGCCTTTTGTGTCTGGCTTCTTTCACTTAGCATAATTAGTTCTCAAGCTTCATACGTGTTGTAGCAGGTGTCAGTACTTCATTCCTTTTTGTGGCTGAATAATATTCTATTGTATGGATACGTATGCCACTTTTTTTTTTTATCCGTTCATTTGTTTGTGGACATTAGAGTTTCTACCAGTTGGCCATTGTGGATAATGCTGCTATGAACATTCTTGTAGAAGTTTTGGTTTGCACATCTGTTTTCAGTTCTTTTGGGTCTGTATACCTAGGAGTAGAATTACTGGGTCATACGGTAATTCTATGTTTAATTTTTGAGGAGCCTCCAAAATGTTTTCTGCGGTGGCCGCACCATTTTATATTCACACCAGCAATGTGTGAAGGTTCCAGTTTCTCCGCATCCTTGACTACACTTGATATTTTCCAATTTTTAATTCCAGCCATTTTAGTGGGTGTGAGGTAATATCTTGTTGTGGTTTTGACTTGCATTTCCCTAATAACTAATGATTTTGAGTATCTTCACATGCCTTCTTTGTATATCTTCTTTGTAGAAGTGTGTGTTCAAGTTTGCTCATTTATGATTGTCCTTTTCTTGTTGAGTTGTAAAAGTTCTTTATATATTGTGGATATATCAGATGTGTGACTTGCAAATATTTTTTTCTAGACAGTGGTGTGTCTTTTCACCCTCTTGGTAGCGTCCTTTGATGTACAAAAGTTTTTAATGTTGATGAAGTCCAATTTTTCTATTTTTTCTTTTGTTCCTTGTGCTTGGAGTTTCATAACTAAGAAACAATTGTTTACCCCTATGTTTCTTCTAAGAGTTTTGTAGTTATAGCTCTTACATTTAGGTCTTTGATCCATTTTGAGTTGATTTTTGCATATAGTGTGAGATAAGGGTCCAACTTAATTCTTTTGTATGTGACACCAATTGTCCCGGCACCGTTTGTTAGAGAGACTATTCTTTCCTCCATTGGACAGTCTTGGCACCCTTGTTGAAAATCAATTGACCATAGATGTCTGGGTTTAATTTTGGACTCACAGTTCTATTCCATTGATCTACCTGTCTATTATTGTGCTAGTACCACAAGTTTCAATTATTGTAGCTTTATTGTAGTAAGTGTTGAAATGACAAAGTGTGAGTCCTTCAACTATGTTCTTTTTTCAAGACTATTTTGGTTATTTGGGGTCCCTTGGAATTCCATATGAATTTTAGGATCAAGTTTTCCATTTCTTCAAAAAAGATCAATGGGATTTTGATAGGGATTGCACTGAAGCTGTAGGTCACTTTGGAGAGCATTACCATTAACAACATTAGGTCTTCCAATCCATGAATACCAACAACAGATTATCTGAGATGCTACATGAGCAACAATAATAAAAATACAATGAAGAAAGGGAAATGATGCCATTTACAATAGCATCAAAAAGGATAGAATACTTTGTAACAGAGGATGTGTAAGACTTGTACATTGAAAACTACAAAATATTATTGAAATAAATTAAAGAAGACTGAAGGGAATGGAAAGACATCCCATGTTTATGAGGGACAACTGATTTTTGTGTGTTGATCTTGTATCCTGCGGTTTTGCTTTATGTGTTTATAGGAATTTGTCCTTTTCCACTAGGTTATCTAACTTGTAGATGTACAATTGTTCATATAGTTCTCTAATGATCTTTTTCCATTTCTGTAAGGTCAGAAGTAACATCTCTGCTTTCATTTCTGATTTTAGGAATTTGAATCTTCCTTTTTTTGTCAGTCAGTCTAACTAAAAGGTTTGTCAATGTTGATCTTTTCAAAGAACCAACTTTCGGTTTTGTTGGTTGTCTCGATTGTCTTTCTATTCTCTATTTTGTTTTTTTATGCTCTGATCTTTACTATTTCCTTCCTTCTGCTAGCTTTAGCTTTAATTTGCTCTTCTTTTTATAATTCACTAAGGTAGAAGTTTGGGTTATTGATTTGAGATCTTTCTTTTAATATGGGTATTTATAGCTATAAATTTCTCTCTGAGTACTGCTTTCACTTTGTCCCATAGGTTTTGGTATGTTGGGTTTTTGTTTTCATTTATCTCAAAGTATTTTCTGATTTCCCTTATGATTTCTTCGTTAGCAATTGGTTGTTTTAAGAGTGTGCTGTTTAATTTCCACTTATTTGTGAATTGTCCAACTTTCCTCCTGCCAATGATTTCTAGTTTCTTTCTGTTTTCAAAAGATATTTTCTCTGTGGTTCCAATCTTTCAAAATTTATTAGACTTGTTTTGTGGCCTAAAATATTGTACATACCAGAGATTGATCCATGTGAACTTGAAAAGAATGTATATTCTGCTATTGTTGGGTGGGGTATTCTGTAGTTAGATCTAGTTGGTGTATAGTGTTGTTCATGTCCTCTGTTTCTTTATTGTTCTTTTGTTTAGTTATATCCTTTTTGAATGTGAGGTAGTGATGTCTCTGACTGTTATTGTAGAACTATTTCTTCCTTTAATTCTGTCAGTTTTTGATTTATATATTTTGGGGCTCTGTTGTTAGGTGTGTAGATGTCTATAATTGTTATATCTTCTTGAGGTATTGACTCTTTTGCCTCCTGTGAAAAAATTTTACTTAAAGTCTACTTTGTCTGATGTCAGTGTATCCACC